TAGCCCCATTCTTCATTTCACATCTTAATTTTCTGGAGTGTAATTTTCTTCTGTTTAGTGCTGGGCATGGAACTCAGAATTTCATGTGTGATAGGCAATTGCTTCACTCTTGAGTTACATATTCAGCCCCTAAGGATGGATTTTAATGTTAATCAGGAGAAGTGGAGGAAGCAGAAAACTCAAGGAACTAAGAGCCTTTATTTTGTTCTTTACACATATAGGGGTATGGGACAGGGCAGGCAGCATTGGTTCAGGGACTTCTCACACTGGGACCCTCCCTCCTTGCAGATCATCGCATGTGAGGAACTGCACACACTCTGCTGCACACTCCAGCCCTTTTCTGCTGGTCATTTACAGGGCCAGCTCTCCTCCTGACTACTTTTGCTCTGTCCACTTTACTTCTACTATTTCAGTGTACTCCCAATCCACCTCTTTGCTATACACTTAAAATCACCCCATCAGAGGAATTAAAATGTATCATCCTTTGGTTCAAACTGCTACCTTTTAAGCCTTTGGGTTTTTTTTTTTTTAATCTCAGCTGAAACAAAGTGACTATCCTGCCTCTCCCATACTATGGTTTTAAGTTTTAAGGGAACCAATTCAAATCCAGAGAGTACAGGTTCAATACATAATAATTATTTAATATATTAGTTTTCTTCTCATAGTCTGCTCCTATAGATACTGTTCTGTGCCTGGATTATGCCCATTTGTGATGCAGTTTCCCTCATGTCACTCCCAGGAGCTGACCCAGGAGCACCTCGCTCAACCATTATTCCAGTATACCCCTGTAATGAGCCATCCTCTTCTTTCTTGTGGCAGCCCAAATCTAGTTGGGAAAATATGCAAGACTCCCAAGCTTTTGTCTTTGTTTTCACATTTTCTGCATTGATCTTTACCCTTTTTTCCCACTGTAGGGACCCACAATCATGGTCCTCACACACAGTTCAAGGCTCCTGCTTTGAAAGAACATACACGCTAATGAGCAGACTGCCTTTGGCCTGAAATGGGCTGCTTGCCCACCCCGGAACTGTGCCCCCCCGCCAAGTGTGTGGTTCACTGTTCAACGTGAAAATTCCCTCTCCCCAGAAGTAGTTTCCAAATCCCAAACTAGCCCACACCTGATCCCTTGACCTCACTCCCCCTCATAATTTATCTCCGCCCATCCTCCTCGGCTTTAATTTTGTAAACACCCAGAGGGTCATGAACTCGGCCCCACCCTTGAGAAATCCATTTTGCCATTTGCCTTCTAGCCATAGCCTGCACAATTATTTTTGTTCTCCACACCTACTAAATCCATATTTTGTTTAAAACTTGACCTTTCCGAGGAAACTAGCAGGTGTTTCCGGAACGCATAACTCTCTTCCAAACCTTGGTACTCCCTCACAGAGGGAAAGGCCTGGCAGATGTCACAGGTGTACTCATTCAGCATTCATAAAGTCACTCCGTGTCATGTGGACTTTGAGAAAAATGTGCAGCAAGGTGCTAATTGTGCTGGAGCTTTGTTTAATGGGCATCACTTTTTAAATCCATTTCAGATGATCTGACAGACTCCCGTCTATTTTGGTGACAAACCTTCTCAAGCTACAGCACAACTTAATTCTTCTGTTGTCAAAAGTAGGTTATGATGGGCTCCATTTCCTGGTCTCTCCAAAGAGCCATCTCCACACTCACCTACCTACCTAGTCACCCGTCTTCTAGGACAGAGGGGATGGCTTCATCTGTGCCCTCGCCAGATGTCTCTCCTTTAGAGGCCTCCAGTTAGCCAGTCTCTAGTTAGTCTTACAGGCTGATAGTTAGTCTTATAGGCCTCCAGTTAGCCGGTCTCTAGTTAGTCTTACAGGCTGATAGTTAGTCTTATAGGCCTCCAGTTAGCCGGTCTCTAGTTAGTCTTATAGACTGATAGTTAGCCTTATAGGCCTCAGGTTAGCCAGTCTCTAGTTAGTCTTACAGGCTGATAGTTAGTCTTATAGGCCTCCAGTTAGCCGGTCTCTAGTTAGTCTTACAGGCTGATAGTTAGTCTTATAGGCCTCCAGTTAGCCGGTCTCTAGTTAGTCTTACAGGCTGATAGTTAGTCTTATAGGCCTCCAGTTAGCCGGTCTCTAGTTAGCCAGTCTCTAGTTAGTCTTACAGGCTGATAGTTAGCCTTATAGGCCTCTAGTTAGCCAGTCTCTAGTTAGTCTTACAGGCTGATAGTTAGTCTTACAGGCCTCCAGTTAGCCAGTCTCTAGTTTGCCATATATCCCTCTAGTCCATCACCCTCCACTCTGAGTCTTTACCTTTGACTTCAAGATATTCAATAAATACGAGACTTTGCTGAATGAAGTCAAAGTTTCTGCCATCTCATTCTTTTCCCTGATGCTCAAATATCCAAAATAATACTTGGTGAGCCTGTAGTTCCACAGCATCCTGATCATCCCTGATCTCATTCACACTCCTTTTTCACTAAAAAAAAAAAAAAAAAAAAAGGAAACAACAAACCCTATGCTTTAGAACTTAAAAAAAAAAAACAAAAAAACCCTCATTTTGAAACATGATGGCTTCAGGTTGGTATTCATTATCTGTAAAGTTCCATAGCAACCAATAAAGCTTACAACTGTTGGTCCTTATTAGAACCATCACTTCTTGCCTGTGACTCAGCTCTGCACAGTCTCTTCCGGTAATTAGGGTCATGATATTAAGAAAATTATAGAAGTCTCCAAAGCTTCAAATTGCAAACTGGTTGAATTAGGGCAATGACTGCCCTCTTCAAAGTGTTGTCGTGTAACTTATATTCCACAACATGAGCTACCGTATCAATACCTGATTATGAGCCTAGCACTTGATACAGTGCACACACACACACACACACACATACTCATGAACAAATTATATATACAGTCATCTTTTAGATGCCCACATAGAATGGTGGTCCCAGAAGATTATACTGAAGTTAGAAAAAATCCCCATTGCCTAGTTGTTTTTAGCCATCATAACTACTTTACGCAATGGTGTACATAATAGTTGTGTTTCATAGTGGTAAGTTTATTTGTAACGATGAAATGCATTCAGCTCAACTGTACTACTGGTCATGTAAAAGTACATTGTGCGCAATATGCAGACACAATACCCAATAATAAATGATGATAAATAGCTAGTGTATGTTGTATTATATATTTTATATTATTTTAATACTTACTTCTTATATGAAAAGAAAGTTTATTATAAAACAGTATTTTACTGTGTTATTTCAGGCACAGCTTTATATACCTGAGGTTTACAATGACTCTTAATTGTATTATATTTCCAGCACTTTAATCTCATGCTATCTTATTCAAATGATCCTAGAAGAAATGGACTATAATATACATGCATTTTGATATATGTCTACATGCATGTGCAAATGCATGTAGATTATGTGTACAAATATGGTAGCTTGGGTGCGTGATTAATTATACTCTGGTTTTTTTTTTTTTTTTTTTTTTTGGTTTTTCGAGACAGGGTTTCTCTGTGGTTTTGGAGCCTGTCCTGGAACTAGCTCTTGTAGACCAGGCTGGTTATACTCTGGTTTTTATACAACAAAATTGTCATAACATGCTATCTGCCCTCCTACCACCTCATGTGTGTGCACATGTGTGAAGGTTCACTTAACAGTTCAAAACATCCCATGGGGTAAACATTGGTTGTGTTTCAGAGATGGAAATATCTCTAGAAGTTAACTAGCATATTCAATGGTTTTTAGATGAACAATTCAAATGAGATCCAGGGTATACAATGGTAGCTATTTTAACAAGATTGTATTGCCTCCCCCTCAAAATATGCAAAAGTCTAAATTTTAAGGTGATACAATGTCATTTATAAGTTGTTTAATATCATCTGAATATCCTGTGTTTTAGAACACACAAAATTAAGCTTACTATGCAATGAGCTTTATAACCTTCTGCCTTCCTGGGTTTCATGCATGGCCTTGAGCTTTGCAGACAAACAGCAGGCACTCAGACAACCGTGCCTGGACAATGCAGTTGCAGTTTAAATACCAGCAACCTACCTTCTGACTCTGGTCTTTTCATCGAACACTAACAATCACAAGCATGTGTTCAGACACACTGCTTTAGAGCAGGCTTTCATGTTAAGACATTTAGCTGTGCTGTAACTAATGATAGCCCCCATGGGACAGAGAGGACGCTCAGGCTCTGAGGCAGTCACTCTGTTGTTTGTCAACTACTTGTCATTCTCGTGTTGACCCTTCAGGGGATGAGGTAAGAGTGACCATCATCGTTCCACATCCCTTACAGCTGGAGAAGAGCATGGGAGCAATAGCTGTGCGACAGAGAAGGCAAATGACAGACAGGGGCATCTATTCTGGCATGGAATACAGAGTTTATTGACGGAAAGGGACAGCCTTCAGAACATTCCTTCACCTCCCTGGGCACAAATCTAAACAGTGACTGCTTTGCCCATTTGGCAACCAGACTGGTCTCTATGCAGCATCATTACCTGACCACTCACTCACAGAGGTACAAGCTCTAAGTTATAGAAATCTCAAAATTACAAATAACTGTTGCATGACCAGGCTTTCCTTTCTGGTAAAAGTCCACAGCTTCATCAACAACTTGTCCAGTGTCTCATCTCTAGGAAATGCCAACATCTTTCTCCAAGCCTCATAAATGCCAAAACTGTTGTTAGGTTTGCCAGACCCCAACATGCTTTGAAAAGGAAACTTTGTTTTCTCAGGAGTCTAAACTAAATGTAGGTATAACCATGACCTTCCATTTGAGTAAAATAAACAAAGCTGGTGATTTTCCTTTGTCTCATAGCTAAGAAACCCAGGCTCAATCTCTTCTGTGAATAGCTGAGTGTAAGTAACAGTCTTCACTTATGCAACAGACAGAAAAATACTCGTTACCTCAAGTGACCTCCCTGCCGGTGAGGAGGGAAGCAGCAATTAACTGACAGGTACTGCAGCTCCACTAGGGGTGTGTGACATGCTTGGAGAGCTTCTCGGGTCCAGCACTGACTTTGGATGAGCTCACAGGAAAGGTGGAGAAACCAAAGCTTTCCATATAAATATGACCCCTCTCCTAGTGCACAGCACATTCAGCTTCAAGTGGATCTCAGATCACTAGCCTCCTCATCACGGCTCTCTCCACCATGAAGGTCGTTGGGGGCCTCATTCTGTTCTTCATGGCAACCTGTGTCTGCCACAGCTTGGGTGAGTTGGGTGTAGTCAGTGTCACCTATGATCCTGAAGGTTGCTTCTTTTCTATATATTTTCCCCTAGGAGCTAAGTTGTTGATATAAATATCGGGTCAAGCGGACTTAAAGGGAAAGAAACAGTTCTGGCCAGGGAGAAGGATCACGGTTCTATCTGTACTTTGAGGGAGTGGGAATTGATGCCATCCCTTGAAAGCATTCGTACTTGGCACCCATGGACATAAAGAGTCCCAATTTCTTTATAAATTGTTTTACATACAGACTTACACAACCATGTCAGTAGACGGCTACTCCTCAGAGCGGAGATGCAGAGTCCTAGGTGTCTTCGTGGATCCATATAGTAGGATTGGAATAGAACATACTGCTCCAGAAGGTTCAAGTTAACAATCTAGCCTTTAAATTGTGAAAAGAGGTTTAGTTAAAATTAATGTCTAACACATTAAAGACATTCATTTACTTTTCTGTTTGTTTCTTTGAGATAGGGTTTTATTATGTAGTCCCATTGCTATGTAGACCAGGCTGTCTTTGGACTTACAGAGATCTGCCTGCTTTTGCCTCCAGTGTGCTTTGATTAAATGTGTGCATCACCATGTGGAGCTCTTTTCATTTCTTTATGTTGTTTAATAGAGAAAGTATATCAATGATAAGGAGTCAGTGACAACTGACTTTATCAAGTCTCCCATTCCCATAAGTTCCAGAAAGAATATATAAATTTACCTGCCTGATTCAAGGGCTTATCCATTGGCCACTCAAGTTCCTAAGCCAGCAGCTGTGGTGGGGTCTGTGCTGAGATTCATTGCTAAAAGAAATGAAACTTTTGACTGAAAGACAAGGCTACATTGAATAATAAAATTCCAGGCTTTGCTTTATTTTTAATATTCCATTGTATTTGTCTTCCAGAAGTGACCAGTCACCCTTCACCAACGGTAAGTATGTTGAACTAAATTTTAATTTCAATTTCTATTGGCTATTATTTAGTCAACAAATATTTGTGAAAGATCGATAGATAGTTCATGTCGTGTGTTTAGGGAAAGCAACAGAGGAGACAAACACAGATGAAGAAACCTTTTCCCCAGTTGAAAAGAGACATTATAATAGAACTTCTCTTACTCAAGTGTCCTAAATATTAACTAATAGGAGATCATGTAACACTAAAGTTAACTATCTGGCACAGAAATGATCAGTGATTGCTCACCAAGTGTGGCATTAAAAAGGAGGAAGGGTGCTGGCACTGCTGGTATTTGCCATGGTGGTAATGCCACTATACAAACAGCTTTAACAGCATCAGAACATCTGAGATGAGCGAGACTTCAGCTCTTGCAGCCTGTCGTCTAGTTGATCCAACGTAGTGATACTTACTGTATTTGAGAAAACCAGGACTTTCTCTTGTGTCTAACCAGGTGGACTGTGACATATACAAGAAGTACCCAGTGGTAGCCATCCCCTGCCCCATTGAAAACATACCAGTTTGTGGTTCAGACTATATCACCTACGGAAATAAATGCAAGCTGTGTACAGAGATCTTGTGAGTATCAAACACAAAGTGGACTGGGAACAATGTTCTCTACTCAATCCTTCCCCTTCCCAGGATCCCTCTTAACTCTTTATACTCTACTTATTTCCATGCAGAACAGAGCATGGGAAGAAAACTCCAACTGTAGCTGAATCAGACCAGAATTGGGCCAGCTATTCTGCCAAACAGCTCCTATCCCAGCACATATCTCTAATTATTGTACTTCTAGAAAGGCATGTGTTTTCAAGCTCATATTTGGTCCTGCAACTGAGAAGGAAGTCAGGAGTCACCAAATGGGCTAAAGTGGCCATTTGGATGCCCCCCAAACCCAAGTACAAGTTTTATTATTTTAAAAGTGGAGTTCCATTTCCCTCCCCCTCCTCCCACCTTTCTCCCCCTCCTCCCACCCTTCTCCCGGAAATGGGAGGCTGGGAGGAGGTGGAAACTTGATTTTTGTTTATGTATTTTTTTCTTTTCTCAATAAAAAAAAAGAAAAACAAAACAAAAAAAAGAATTAAAAAAAAAGTGGAGTTCCACACAACTTCCTATATAAAGAAAGGTTCATGAATAATTGAATATCTGGAATCCACTATCTCGCATTGTTTCTAAAATACTAAACAACTTTAATTCATCTGGACTTTATTCTCAAGTTGCCACAGGCTCTAAGTAAAGATCAGTAGTCTTAAGGGAGAAAAGGCAATGAAAATTATTGGTTTGCTTTTTTTTCTAAAATAGAGTATACAGGCTGTTACTATTGTATCAGTATCCCATGGACATGTTTTGTTTAGGTATTTTGTTTGACCTGCACAGTATTGGGGAGAATAGTAATTAGGTAGATATCCCCCTTGTAAAGTGTAAGGTGAAAGTTAGCACTTACTATCTTATATCAAATTCACTTTCCATCATTGTTAACTATCTTTTACCCACCAGCATTGGGTCACTTATGTCCTGCGTTCTCACCTTTGTGGTTTTCTTAGCAAATTAGAATAACAAATACGACTTGAGCCCAGAGAACATGTCCACACACATTTCTGCTTTGGAAGCTTTCTTTCACAGAAGGAAAGAGTTTTTGATGCAGATGCATAGATAGTCCTGGGCCATGAAACTAGGCATGTTCAAGGCCACAAGCCCCTGAGAAGAACATGGTCAAGGTCTTCCTTGGTATTGCAATATCCAGCTCCATCATCGCCTTGCTGAACATGAAAAGCTGAGAGACAGGCTACCTCAACTCCCTTTGTGGAGTCTTCTTGTTCTTTCAATGCCTTGGGTGATCTTCTTGCCTCTGGTATCCATGGAAGAAATAGATTGGGATAGAGTTATCACTGAAGCAGAGAACCTCTCCTCTGTGGCAACAGCACGATGTTCTCGAATCTTCCTTTCTGTGGAAAGAGGTTCTACTCCATGGCCTTGTTCTTATCCGTAAAATAGGTCCCACTGCTACTTCACAGTTTTTGTACGTCTTTTCAACTTTTATATGTTCCTGATCTTGCTGAGTCTTGTTCATCATGTCTTCCCTCAGGAGGAGTAATGGAAAAATTCAGTTTCTTCATGAAGGGCACTGCTAACTTCCCCATGGACAAAGAAAGAACGATGATGCCTTCATGGTGTGCAGGCGTGTGGGCTCTGGTGAACTTCTCCCCTTTGCTGATGTTCTAAGGTGGCGTCGGGGCTAGGTTCGGTTGTCCTCACTGACAGCCCCTGTGCTCATCCCTATTGACTCACGTTTCCTGCCAAGTTACCTTTTTTTCCCATCTGAATAAAATACAAATCTCTCCAGAAAGTTCGCTTTCCTGCTTGTTTGTTTCGTCAGAAAAATATTGCATCTGAATTATAAAGTAAACTGAGAAATAGAAACAGACAAATCTTCTTTTTCAGTAGAACTTTAAAACAAAGAACCTAGAGTAGTTTTCAAAATCAAACACATCCCAGCCACATACTGGCTGTCTTTCTTGGGACCTTGGCCTTACAATTGTCAAACAATGTCACATACATCTGTGGCAGTCATTTTTCCTTATGGCTGAATAAACTTCCATGTGTAAATGCAAAAAGTAAAAAATAAATGAGGAGCAAGGTATGGGAATACGAGGAAGCAGGAACACACACAAAGTAATGTTTGCTGGGCCACATAGTTCAGCCCCTCTCTTCTTCATTCCTCTTTGTTTGTTCTCCCTATTGCTCATTCCTCTAGTACTCCGTTTTCCAGTCATCTCTAGAGAATTCTTTTCTAAAGCAAAGACCTCTCATTCATCATTTAAAGATGCTCTGGTGAGTCTCACTCCTACCCACTTCCAGCACCAGCCATTCACTCACCAAACCTTCATCCTCTCCACTCTTCCCTCCAGTCTATCCACCATGCTCAGAAACTACTGCGCACTCTTCCAATTAGCCCTTTCCAGCTCTAGGATTTCAACACCGCCTTTCAGCCCTTTTGCTATCGAGTCTAAAAGGCTTGCTCTCTGTGTTCGTTTCTCCTAGATAAGCACCTATAATAAGCTCCCATCAGTTCTACCGCTGTCTGCCTCCTATGCTCTATTGAACGTACACCTTGGAAGCCATGTGTTCAAAATTGCCAAAAACTAAGAAAGCAGCAAAACAATGGTGTCTTATTCTAGTATCAATTCCTGATCTAGCTGCATGAGCTCGTGTTCTAAACCAACACACATTCTGAATGCTTCAACAAGCTTCCTGGAAAGAATTTGCAGGTACACAAACAATGGAGAGCAAACAGTGTTGCTCTGGACATTCTGCGGGTGCAACCAACAGGCAGTGAGCTCGAACATGCTACAAACAAAGACTCCTTATTGCATTTTTTTTCTTTTTTTTACCAACTCTTACAACACCACTTCGGAATTCTCGTTAGTAACATGAAAGGAAAGTTGCTGTAAGATTTTAAAGATACAAATGTAAAGTGAATCTGTTACATGGCCAAAATCCGTTTCCAGGGCTGAAGTTGACACAAATTCTCAGACACCTCACCCTGTTTCATTTTAAACTAGATTGTTCACATAATTAAGGAAATCAGACATGACTTCACCCAATAATCCGGTCTTTCAGAAACAAGTAAACCATGTCTCTGTCAGAAAGCATGATGCTGAAGTAATAACTTTGCAATGTTCTTTAAGAGTAAGTATAGAGATCAAGGCTATAGCAGCTAAAGTCATAAAGTCATCCCTTAATTAAATACACAACCCTGGACGCGTTCTGAAAACCCACACACTCAAAGTCATGTGGCCATGTAGAATTAAGCTTTTGAAGAGCTCTGTGCAAACAAAGGAACAATCCTGTACAAATGCTTCTGGGAAGTCAGATCACTTGTAATTGTTCAATCCTCTCTAGAACATGAGGCATTGAATATTTATTCATAAGCAGGCTCAGGGGTTAAAACAACTCAAGCTAGCTAACCACACTCTGGGGACTTCTCAAAGAACAAGATTGGCTTTGGGTTGTGATTCTGTTCCCACAATCATCCTGCTCCTCGTTCATGGTTTTGTGTGCCTATGTGTGAGTACCCTCTTCTCCGGAGGGCCACGCTGCACCTGAGCCACATCCTCTGCAGCTCCCTAGCCTTCATTTAGTTCCTCCAGCATGTGTTCCTTCCTTCCCCGCCTCACTCCTTCTAGAAACGAAGCCTAATGGTGCACACTCAGAACCACCACGAGTGAGATCTCACTGTGCTTTCTGTTCACCCTGCCTCTGCTTTCCCTGGAGGTTGGGCTCTACTTTCTTACTGCTCTGTAATCCCCACAGGTTACTTCAACTTTTTGTCATCGCATCCAATAGGTAGGAACCTGTCCTCCCTAGCATATAAATTCTGTGCAAAGTTTGTGTGATGCCATGGCTAAGATTGGGGAGACTGTAAAGTTAGAAAGCTCTAGGGTTGAGGATAGGTTAGCCATATTCTGAGTAACCTCAGAAAAATGGTTTGTCTTTTGACTTTTAGTGCCCAGCTGTCAAAATAGGTATCTCAGATCCTTATAGATTGTCTTCTATAAGACAGAGTATGTGATACTGTGCCTGATGCATAGTTAACCAACACATGGCGGGCTTAAAAAAACAATAACAAAAACCCTGTGATTGTCATAGTGTGCTTACTAACTAGGTGATTTTGAACTAACATGTTTTATTTCCAGTTCTGGGCTAACTGCCATCTCTGCCTGCTCTTGCCCTGAGCTGCAACACCTAGCATAGCAAAAGCCAGCCCAGTGTCTTGACTGCAACAAAAAATATACAACCATCCTGTGAGAGACTCTGGGAGAGTTATGCCATTTTCTGATTTGGGGGTCAAAAGCTACACTATATCTTTTCTGGCTTTGGGATTCCTTATAACAGGGTTTTTGTTTTGATCCTCATGTGTCTTTTCTGGACATTTGGTTATTTTTCTACTAGTAGTTCTATAGTTAATGAGGTCTCACATGAATATGTAATCTTTAATCTTTCAGAGAAAAAACATTAAAATAAATTCAATCTTGAATGTATTTGAAGCTATATATCCACTGTTCTATGTCTTAGAGTTCTACCCCCCCACCTGAATTCTATATTGACTAAAAATAACAAATGGGATAAGTATTATTTAGCAAGGACAGAGAAAGGAGAGCCATTTCACTGCCTCCATATATTAAGAAACATCCCCTAAGTGGGTGGTTGATGGGTGTTTTTAGCTTAAGAAAGGAAGCAGAGGTGGAACCAGGTGACAGCTGGTGGCCAGAGCAGTGTTAAAGAATGGGTGTCAGGGAATAAGCTTATACAACATTTTGAAGAAACAGTTCATTGACCTGCTTGCTGGACATTGGAACATTTGTGCTATTGTTAAACCACGTGTCTGCCCCATGTATTCTTCTTATACTACTCATGACTTATAATTAAATAAGGCAGAGGTATGAAGAATAAGGACAATAAGAGTAGATGATTCTAAGTATGAATTTTCTCTGACTTGTGGGTTTGCTAAGAGCATCGATACACTTAATTTTAAGGAAAATGAGCTTCTTTCTTAAATAACTCCATGCTCCTTTGATCACAAGGACATTTTGCTTCAAGGGACCTCTTAGTTGGCTAAAATGGTTCCAGTGTGAGCATGAAAGCAGCCTGAATGGACCAAATATGCAGAGAAAGGGCAGGATGTAGCAGGAGGCGCATCATTGTGGTTGCCCAGGTTTCCTTCTTTCTCTATAAAAGCTTCCACAATGAACAATGAGAAAAGTTCAGGATATCTTACAAATGAAATTTTTGGTGAAACAAGAACTCTGGAAATTGAGTCAGTTTAAGAAGGAAATAAATAATCTGGTAATTCAATAGGCTTTGGGGTTTTGCAACCCAGTTGTAGTGCCTTCTTTTAAAAATAATTTATTCATAAATAAAATATAAATCACAATAGAAATTAGGACAAAAAGTCAAAGTCTTACAATCCTTTTTGAATATTTCCTTTTATTCATGAGATAGTTTCCCTTTTGTTTTCAGGGTATATTCGTTACATAAAATGATGCTTCATTGCAGCCCGTCTGTACATGTATGTCAGATGCTCTGCCCTTATTCAGTGTCCATTCTCTTCTTTTGTTCTCCTTTTCTGCTTTTGCTGGTTTTCTTCCTGCTCCTAATTAGTCCATTTTCTGCTTTCTTTTCATGCATAAATATTATAATTGTATATATGCACATATTTTCAAATATATAGATTGCATATATTAATGAAAAAGATGCCATATCTGTCTTTCTGGATATGATTTATTTGGCTTATTATGGCGATCTCCAGTTCTGCTTTTCTGGAGATGTCATAACTTTATTTTTCTTTATGGCTGAACAAAATTCTATATTTGTATGACATATTCTCTTTATCTATTCACCTGACTCGGGAAAATCACAATCTTTAAGAAACCTCTTGGCATTTCACTTCTTACATGCATAGACAATTTTTACATACTGACTCTAACATCATAAACATGATTTTATGTTTTATTTTGTTTGTTAAACCATAAGAATATTTGTTTTTCTCTGGCCTTTTTCTCTCTCCACACCTAAGACTGATGTCCTAAGATGTTTGGGACAGACAATAGCATTAAAAATGTAACTGTCAGAATAATAATAATGTGAGGTTTACAATTCTTAAGTGCACCAGCAAAACTTATATTTACTTTAATAATTATTTCATGACATAAAATTAAAGCTAGAATATTTTTATGTTATTACATATTTCGATTTGTTTTTGTTTTCCTCCATTTTATTCTCTCAGAATAGCATTTGCCTTAGGAACTGGCGTTGGGATCATGGAGGTGGGGGAGAAGGGAGGGTGGAAGGAAAGAAGGAGAGGTGAGAGGAAGACTTGAGGGAACTGGATAGTCGAGATGGGGAAAGGAGGCTTTTTTTGATAAGGGATGGTAGCTCTGTTCATCTGTGGTGTAAGAATAAGATTTAGGATATACTGAGGAACTATGCTTTTCTAGCAATGGCCGAAGTCAATTCTTTTCTAAGGTCTATGACCTCACTAACCTCCGAGAGTTGCCTAGGTTTACAGTACCAGAGCATTATTTTCTTCCTGTTGAGTGGGTCTTCAGTGCATTAATTAAACATTAAACATTCATTTTAAGCATTAATTAATTAGACAGCTGTTAGCTGTCCCCAAAATGTGAGTGCCACTTATTGCAACTTTATTCATCTTCTGCTATGCTGGTAATTGCGATGCTTTATAGGTGTTGCACCTAAGTAGGACTGGTTAATTGCTTGCTTCCTTTGGCAAGTTGCATAGTGTTTTC